ATGCAGGAGGTCCTGCTTTGTCATGTAATGGGATTACACAGATGGGGGGTCTGCGGCGCAGAAGATCCATTCTTCAGCTGCCGCCTGGAAAGTCACATGACAACACATACACACCTGATTTCGTGGGACCTTTGTTTGTGGCGGACCTAGCCCAAAGTGCATAAATGTAATGTGAAAACATGACTCAGAAGTTGGTTTTCCTGCGGGAGCTCTGGCTCTCTGAATCCAGCGCTGTGAGACTTTCTTGTAATCAGACTTTCAGTAAACTTTCTGTTGATTTTAAACAGTCCTCTCCTGTCGTCACTTCTCGTGCTTCCAACAAAAGAATTGGGTTAATTTCTAACAATAAGGTTAGAATCTAACACCTGAACGTCAAACATTCCTGTCATTTCTCCTTTTATTTCTAAGACTGGTAGTTGGAAATGTGGTGGCTCTACATACGGTGGGGGAATTTCAGGATACAGTGAAGGTGCTGAAGGGCTTACGTTGTTCTTTTTATCCTTATTTTCTAGGGTTGTGTCTCCCCCGTGCTTCTTCTTTGCTATTTTAAGAGTAGCCAAAACCGTAATACCTGCCATTGTCATGTTATGTAATAAGGCACTGTGATCAGCAGCAGTTTGCATCTCAGTCTTTCTCTTCCTTTTCACTATCCAGCCCTTGTCATGCTCTGACGTCAGACACTTCTGTCTCTCCTCTCTCTCTAAGTTGCTCAGCAACTGCACCAACTTCCCTTTTTTGTCATCTGCTGGTATTCTACCGTCTTTCTGCAATTTCCTGAAAAGAGTCTCATATTCTCCTATTCTTTTCTGCTTCTCTGATCCTTTCATACCACTTTCAAGTTGTGTTTTAATCTCATTCCACCATTCTCCAATACTTTCTTCCTCCTGTAACTCATTTCTACTCACTTCTCCCTCCATTACTCCACACTACAGGTCAAAAATACACGTATCTAACTGTTGGACCCAGTACTTTTAACCACGCTAACTCTGAGGCATGAAGCTGTTAGGTTAAGGTGAAGAGACAGAGAGGTAGAAGGGGAGGGTGGAAAGACAGAGACAGAGAGAGGAGGAGGGGGAGAGAGACAGAGAGGAGTTATGTTGGGCCATGTCCCAATTGCGCTGCATTTTATGAACCAATTTATGGCACCCCAAGACTGTGTCATTGACTCAGCACTTTGAGCTCCCATTGACTTGTATTGCAAAATATAAAACTGAATAGATTAAAAAGTATAAATGTTATAACAAAGAAAAATACAAGCAGGGATGTCCTTGAAGAGTTGAACACATAGAGACCTCAATGGCCTGTATAGCTGAAAGTATGTTGGACTTATAAAAAAAAAAAGGGTGGAAGATCCCAGAATAACAAAAAATAAAGAACAGGAGAACATAGTGTGGATGATTTACAGCATCCACACAACTAGAGCCTATAAGTTTCAAATCTTACATTACCAAGCAAAATATTCATATGGATACCTGAAATAATTGGAGAGACCTGACCAGCAAACCCATTTTAGTTGTTAAACCTGCAATAAATGATATTTTTTAATCATTTATTTGGAGTTGTGTTTCTGGTGAATTTAACTCCCATTGATTTAACACAGTTTTTATCTACCAAGTCCTAAGGGAAATACCTAACTGTTTGTCTGCTGGCGACACCAAGCAGGTTCTGCACAGTAGATCTTTAGAGTTTTTCACAGAAAACAGCAGCCTGTTACCATAGCTATACCTTATCTAGTATGAATGTAGAAATATGAAGCATCTGTTCGCCAATGTGATGACTAAAACCAGCTAAATTTGTCTGTGGTTGCATGATGCTAAAGTTTTAGCTATAACAGGGATACCCCCCCCCCCCCCCCGTTTGCGCCTGCACACTGTTTAATCATGAGC